AAAAACAAAAGACAAATTAAAAACAAAAACCAGCATCTGCACTGCACTTTTTCTTTCTTGTGATTTTTCAGGAAGCCCAGACTCTGGGCTGAGGAAACCAAAGCTTGAGTTCTGCCTTATGGAAAGTCTGGCAACTATGGGATGAGAGGAGGTCCTGAGATGGGCTGCTGTGTACCCATCTTCTACTTTCTTGGTAGCCTGCTCTCAGGCCAGAGCCAATGCAGTGATGAATTGGAACATGTCCTGGGGTGGAGAGGGAAAATCAGGTTAAGAATCAAGGATGGGGCCAGGTGATAGTGCCGATCGCCTTTAATCCTAGTACCAGGGAGTCAGAGGCAGGCAGATCTCTGAGTTTGATTGAGACCAGCCTGTTCCAGGACAGGCTGCAAAGCTGTAGAGAAGCCCTGTCTCAAAAAACCAAAACAAAATAAAAACAGCTATTTTCATATGTTGCCTATTTGGTTTTTCTAACATTTCATTAGCCTTTTTAATTTTTTCTTAGGTATTTAAAATGATGCATTTATAGACATTTTTTATAATGAGTCCTTTGATGCAGCTGGAATATTAAAAGGATTTCATACCTGTAATCCCAACACTGAGGAGACAGAAGAAATAGTATCACTGCAAGTTCCAGGCCAGTTGGAACTATATAGTAAAACCCTGTTGCAAAAACAAAACAGGCTGCCGAAAAGGCCCAATGAGTAAATGTCTTCCCCCGCCTCCAAGAACCCATGTTAAAACCAGGTGCTGCAGCTTGTGCTTGTAACTCTAGTGCTGGGGAGTGGAGACCGGAGGATGGCCATGCCAATCTAACTAAAATAATGAGCTTCAGTGAGATAGATGAATGGATGGATGGATGATTGATAGGTAGGTGGATAGATAGATAGATAGATAGATAGATAGATAGATAGATAGATAGATAGATAGGCAGGCTGAAGTGGTTGAGGCACTCACGCATGGATACCTTCCAGGGGAAGAGGTTTCTGGGAGTACAGGCAGCCTGCCAGGTCCCGGCTTCCTGTTACTGCCTCTGGGAACCTGGCATGTTGCCCTTGGCTACAGCCAAGCATGAACTGTGATAGACTGCTCTCAAAGCCAAAGACTAAATGCTAAAGGTTAAGGATTACCACCCTGTCCATTTTGGTCTCCCACAACTACTCTTATCCCCACAGTGTATTGAGAAGTCTCCTAAAGCTGGTCAAAGGCAGCCATGCCCCAGCCAGGACAGAAGATGTAGGAGTTGTGATTTTTGGCTCTCTTCCAATTTTATTTGATGCCAGATGGTTCAGCTTTCAGAATACCTGCCTGTCCTCAGAGGTGTCTCCTGGGGCAGGGACTCTCACAAGTGCTTACCTTGAAAAGCAACCCTGTGGACAGGTACTTCCACTCCAGAAAAACAGACTTAGCTCTGGCCATGAGATCAAAGCCAGACTGAGCTGAAGAGTGAAATCCTGCTTTTATTTAAAAAAAAAAGGCAGTGGGTTGGGGGTGATGGTGAGATGCTCCAGTGCTTAAGAATACTTGTTGCCCCTAGAGGGAACTCGAGTTTGGATCCCAGCACACACACATCAGGCAGGCAGCTCACCACTGCCTGTCTAGAGGATATGACACCATACTCTGGTCTCTGTGGATACCTGCCCTCACATGCACAATATAAATAAATAAAAATAAATTTTGGGCACTGGAGAGATGGCTCAGAGGTTAAGAGCACAGGCTGCTCTTCCAGAGGTCCTGAGTTCAATTCCCAGCAACCACATCAGTGGCTCACAACCATCCATTATGAGATCTGGTGCCCTCTTCTGGTGTGCAGGCAGAACATTGTTCACATAATAAATAAATAAATAAATCTTAAAAAATGAAAAAAAAATATAGGAGCTGGGCAGTGGTGACACACACCTTTAATCTCAGCACTCAGGAGGCAGAGGCAGGCAGATCTCTGTGAGAGGCCAGCCTGGTCTACAAAGCTACACAGAGAAACCCTGACTCGAAAAACAAAAATAAATGATTAAATAAATAAATTTTGGAAGTCAGGCAGTGGTGGTGCACACCTTTAATCCCAGTACTCAGGAAGCAGGCAAGTGGATCTCTGTAAATTCAAGGCCACCCTGCTCTACAGAGCAAGTTCCAAGACAACTAGGGCTACACAGAGAAAGCCTGTCTTGAAAAACCAAAAATTAAATAAGTAAATCTTTAAAAATTAAAGAAACTTGGGTATGTTGGTGAATACCTTTAATCTCAGCACTGAGGAGGCAGAAGCAGACAGATCTAGCTGAGGCCAGCCAGCCTGGTCTACATAGTAAGAATATGCCTAAAATCAAAACAGTCAAACAAAAAAATCCTGGGGCTGTAAGTTAGCCTGCCTAGTGTGTTCAAGCCTGGGGTTTGAACCCCAGCACTGCACAAACTGAGTGTAGTGGTGTACACACAGATAAGCACACCCACATGTACATACAAAAATGTGCAAGGGTACAAGAGAGAAAGCTCTTGTGTAGCCACTTTCCTTTCCCAACTGCCAGTTCCCAAATAACCAACATAGAGACTTAATGTTAATTATAAAAGTTTGCTGATAGCTCAGGTTTGTTACTAGCTGACTCTTTTTTTCCCCCTATTTATTTATCTATTTATCTTTTAAATATACAGTCTTCTGCCTGCATGCCAGCAGAGGGCACCAGATCTCATTTAAGGTGGTTGTGAGCCACCATGTGGTTGGTGGGAATTGAACTCAGGACCTCCAGAAGAACAGTCAGTGCTCTTAACCGCTGAGCCATCTTTCCAGCCCACTAGGTGACTCTTAACATTTTAAATTAACCCATTTTTCTTATCTGCCTTCTGTCACATGGTGGGGCCTTCTTTCAACACTTCATCTTCCTTCTCTCTGAGTGTGCTTGAAACTCCTCAGGCTTTGCCCTTCTTCTCAGCACTCTCTCTTCCCAAAAATAGTGCACAACAGTCAGCTAGTCAGCTTTTTTTTTTTTTTTTTTAACAAAGAGAGCAAAACATTTTAACAGTTTCAAAATTTTTTCCACAGCTTTTCCTTTTTTTTTTGTGAGCACTGCCTGCTCTTCCAGAGGTCCTGAGTTCAATTCCCAGCAACCACATGGTGGCTCACAACCATCTATAATGAGATCTGGTGCCATCTCTGGCCTTCAGGAGGTATAAATGTAGGCAGAACACTGTATACATAATAAATAAATAAATCTTAAAAAAAAGAATTATCGTTACAATATCCAGTTCACTTGTGTTTGACAAAATTAGAGAAAATACTCTTATCTTTGTGAGTCTAAAGTTTTATACCTAATTTACCTTTTTATCATAACTAAGGAAAATTGCAACTATGGCTATCTACTCTTCAACTCCATCAAAGACCCCAGTAGGATATAATATTACCTAAGTAAACAGGAAGTGCATTGCAAGCAACTTCCCAAACTCTAGAAATGACAGAGACATCTGGCTACCTGGACAATCACCTGAAGTTCATCTGTAATGTTGGGGCATGCGTCTTTGGCTTACAGGCCTATTATATATCTGACAGACATTTTTGAGACACTAGGAATTTTGAAGGACTGTCCTAACTTGTCTTGGCAAAGTTTGTCAGTCGCTTTCTTTAATGTCCAGTTTGGACAGTATACTGTCAGCAGTTGAGGCAAAGACAGTTTTTTGCCCAGTGGCTAACTTTTGCCACAAAAAAAGCAAACTCCATACAGAGTTTCTATGATGCCCATCATCTTCTCTGAAGAAGATTGGTGCTGCCAGGAGCAAACATGTCTCATTGTTATAAAAAGTCTTATATTATTAAAACATCTTAAATGCCATATACTATAGGTCTTTGAAGTGTTTAAAAACCATCTGTCTATGTGCATATATCCGATTAACCTTGAAAACATCTAGTAAGACTACAAGTTTGATTTGATGACTACTAACCTGTATTTCTTAATATACATTATATATTTTTTAAAGATTTTTTTTATTTATTTATTATGTATACAGCATTCTGCTTCCATGTATATCTGTACACCAGAAGAGGGCACCAGAACTCATAAGGGATGGTTGTGAGCCACCATGTGGTTGCTGGGAATTGAACTCAGGACCTCTGGAAGGGCAGTCAGTGCTCTTAACGTCTGAGCCATCTCTCCAGCCCTATACATTATATTTCTGAAAGAGTTGCGTAAGCACAATGCCCCAAACAAGAGTAAAACATACATGTAGTATAGCAAAAACCTTTTCATTTGTATCAATAAACCAAAATCCATAGCAATGTGAAGTATTTAAGACTAGTGGTTGCTGTTTTAGTTTAAAAGTAGATCTGATAACCTACCCTTATACCCTATCATTTATGTATCATATCTCCCGTTTTTCATTTAGAAAAAGATCTTTGAATTTAACTCTTTTTTTAAAAGATTTATTTGTTATGTATACAGTGTTCTCTCTGCATGTGGCTCATAAGGGAATTGAACTCAGGACCTCTGGAAGAACAGCCAGTGCTCTAAACCTCTGAGCCATCTCTCCAGACCCTGAATATAATTCTTTTGTTTAGTTTTTTTTTTCTAAGACAAATAACAATTTGTATTCAGCCCCCTTAAATGATAATAAACATCCATAGCCCATCTTTTGGGAATGTGGGTATTTTTTAAGACTGCATCCTGTTTTCTCGGGACACTGGAATCTTTGGGGAAACTTTGTTTGGAGTACTGTGTGAGGCTGGACCATCCCAGCCAGCAGCCTTAAAGCTGTTCTGGATCCTGGATCACCTGGGCCATCTGTTTTTATTAGTGTCTGTCCCCTTGCTCTGAAAACACATAAACTTTTAAAGGTAGCAAATATATCTGCAGTAATACAGGTATAGTCTGTGCATTGTACTCAAGTCAGCCAAAGATGTTTTTTTTTGTTTTATGTTTGAGCCTGTAAAATATACCTCATATGTCTTATAGTTCTTTAGATTTATTTATGTCTGTGGTCAGGATTTTCAGGGGGTTTTCTTTGATCAAACCTGCCTGAAATGAATCTACAGCCTCTTGTGTCCTGTGGAAATAAAAGCATAGCATCTGTCCCAAAGCAACACACTTTTTTTTTTAATATTTTATTATTGCCGAGTGGTGGTGGTGCCCGCCTTTAATCCCAGCACTCGGGAGGCAGAGGTAGGTGGATCTCTGTGAATTCCAGACCAGCCTGGTCTACAAGAACTAGTTCCAGGTCAGCCTCCAAAGCAACAGAGAAACCCTATCTCGAAAAACCAATGTATGTATGTATGTATGTATGTATGTATGTATGTATGTATGTATGTATATAATGTTCTGCTTGCACATTTGCCTGCATGTCAGAAGAGGAAAGAGGGCACCAGATTTCATTATAGATGGTTGTGAGCCACCAGGACCTCTGGAAGAGCAGCCAGTGCTCTTAACCATTGAGCCATTTCTCCAGCCCTTTCAAGTCAAAACATATTTTAAATATATAGTTTGGTTTAATCTAGCAGTTTCCATAATCTAGTGTTTCTTAGCAGTTATCACTCATTCACTAACAGTCAAAAAATTTAAAGACAACACAATAACATACAGTATCCAAACTTTGTGTATTTCCCATCTTTACATGGCTTTTTTCTTTAATATTACTTTCGTCCCCTTTTAAGAACTTTATCTCCCCCCACCCTTTGGTTTTTCAAGGCAGGGTCTCTCTGTGTAGGTTTTGGAGCCTGTCCTGGAACTAGCTCTTGTAGACTGGATCTATCTTTTTGTTTTGTTTTTTGTTGTTTTGTTGTTGTTGTTGTTTTGTTTTTTGAAACAGGGTTTCTCTGTATTGCTTTGGAGGTTGTCCTGGAACTTACTCTGTAGACCAGGCTGGCCTCTAACTCACAGAGATCCACCTGCCTCTGCCTCCCGAGTGCTGGGATTAAAGGTGTGAGCCACCAACACCAGGCTCTGGATCTGTCTTTACTGAGCATCTATAACCTTTTCTGTCTGTATGAGCAAAACCCCAAACCTACTATGGCGCACACTGGTAGAGCTCATGCTGGTTGCTCAAGCCCGCAGGCTGGGAGATGCCTCTCTGTACCACGGCCCATGTGAGAGGCTGTGGGGACCCACCATGCAGCTTAGATCAAGCATGCTGGCAGCTGCCGGGAGACATATTGGGATCAGCATGAGAGACATGAGACTAAGAACCCAAGTTTGGCTCTGTTTTTGTGTGTTTAAACCTTTTAAAAAGCTTTTTAGGTCTTATGTGGATATAGGTTTCCCCATGTTGGAACGCCATTTGTAGGCAGACTTTTCTTTCCCACCTGCAGTTCCGAAGTAACTGATGCGCAGAGACTTGATAATTAATTATAAAAGCTCGGCTGATAGCTCAGACTTGTTACTAGCAAACTCTTACATTTTAAATTATCCCATAACTCGTATCTACCTTCTGCCATGTGGTGGTACCTTCTTTCAACAAGACCCCTTCAACTTGCTTCTTTCTGTGTTCAGCATTCTCTCTGCCCAGAAAATCCTGCCTAGCAATCAGCCAATCAGCTTTTTATTAACAATGAGAGCAACACATTTTCACAGTGTACAGAAGGGTTATTCCACAGCACCCTTGTGCAAGGCCCTGTTTTTTCCACATCATTGAGAAGAAGTAATAAGATTCATATGAGCCATGTTTAAAGTGTACAACAGCCACATGTGGCTAGTGGCTACCATTTTATATTTCCACCCATGCAGAGAATTTTCTTGAGTAAGAATGCATCAGAGAAGCCAGGTGGTGGTGGCACATGCCTTTAGTCCCAGCTCTTGGAAGGCAGAGGCAGGTGGATCTTTGTGAGTTCCAGGACAGCCAGGGTTACACAGTGAAACCCTGTCTAAAAAAACTAAAAAAAAAACAAACAAACAAACAAAAAAAAAAAACAAAGAATGCTCCAGAAGCTGGGGCTGTAGTAGAGTGCTTGACAGGCATTCAGAAACTCCACATTCAATCCTATAGCTAAAAAGAAGCAAAAAGCCAGCCAGCTTTTTTTGATTTCAGAATTTGCTAGCAGAGGCAGGCAGTCTCTGTGGGTTCCAGACCAGCCTGGTCTACAAAATAGGACTCTGTGTCTAAAAACAAAAAAAAATCCTGCACCAGAAGTTACTACACGCTTGCATCAGCCTGGGTTAGTGCAAGAGCTATCTACTGTTTTCCTTACCTCAGTATCTTTGTCTTTGAGAAAAGTGCTCATCATTTCAGTTTTGTTTTGTAGTTACTGGTGGTGGTGCTGTTTATGAGACAGGTCCTCAGAGACAATATAACCAGTTACAAAAACTACCTAGACCCTTGCCCTAGGGAGGCAACATCCTTAAGCCTTCATGAAAACCCAAATCTTTTTGTCTTTAACTCCAAAATCCTGCTTCCTTTGATTCATGTTTCCTGTGAGTTTCTTCACACGGTAAATTAACTCCCTGAACCCTTTACTAACACTTCCTGAACTTGATGAGTAACAGGAGTTCATCATGAGAACGTGCTGAGCATGGCAACAGCCAGTTTTTAGGAGCCACTTCTTTCAGAAGCCTTTCCCTTCTATCAGTACTATAAACTGTATTAGTTTTGAGGCCTCACTTCCCCGCCTGTGCCCACAGGGGAACAAGGTGATTCTGTGTGCTCTGTGTTTGGGGAGTAGAGCACCAGCCCCACTGAGTTCCAAAACATCCAGGGCTACACAGAGAAACCCTGTCTCAAAGAAAGACAAAAAAATGACCAAACAAAAAAATTTAATACATGAAACGGGCCAAAATTGTGGAGATGGAGGGCAGGTAGACCCAAGAACTGACTGACCAACAGTGGTTTGCTTTGCTCCCCAGGGGGCTGTTGTGGTTCCGACTATAAACAGTATGTGTTTGGCGGCTGGGCCTGGGCCTGGTGGTGTATCTCGGACACTCAGAGGTAAGGACCTCGGGGCTCTGGAATCTGTCATTCTGGTGGGCAAGAACGAGGGATTTCCAGTGGGCCCGCTCCTTTCACCACACAGCCAGATAGAGCACCTCGAATCTCACCTTTCATGGGGGTGGGGAGAGGCCCCCATGCAGAGAAACAGAAATGGCTGCTCAAGGATACAGGAGGCACACATCAGGAAGATCTCTCCTGTGGGCCTGTCTTGGTAGGGTTTTTGTTGCTTAATAAAACACCATGAACTGTAGGGTGGTGGTGGTGGTGGTAGTGATGGTGATGATGCACGCCTTTAATCCCAGCACTCGGGAGGCAGAGGCAGGAGGATCTCTGTGAGTTCGAGACCAGCCTGGTCTACAAGAGCTAGTTTCAAGACAGCCTCCAAAGCCACAGAGAAACCCTGTCTCAAAAAAAACAATAAAACAAAACACCATGACCAAAAGCAACTTGGGGGGGAGGGAAATTATTTCAGCTTACAACTCTCAGGTCACACTCCATCACTGAGGAAGTCAGGGCAGGAACTCAAGCCAAGAACCTGAAGGAAGAAAGTGATGCAGAGGCTGTGGCGGAGGAATGCTTACTGACTTGCTCCCCATGGCTTGCTTAACCATCCAAGACCACCTGCCCAGGGGTGGCAATGCTCTTAATGGACTGGGCCCTCCCACTTCAATTATTAATCAAGAAAATAACTCATAGACTTATTTACAGGCCAGTCTATGGAGGCATTTTCTCAGTTAAGATGCCCTCTTTCCAGGTATGACTAAGTTTCTGACAAGTTGACTGACAAAAAAAAAAAAAAAAAAAAAAAAACAAGCAGCACAACTCTCCTGCTGCCCCTCATTTACTGAGTGCTCTTTCCAGTTGAAAGTGGTCCTGCTTCTGTCCCAAACTGCAGAGTCATACCCAGGAAGAATCTGTCTATATTCTAGCTCAGTTAGTCAGAAAGGCTTGCCAGGCTCATGTCTGTCGTCCCAGTCTTCAGGAGAGCTTAGGTGAAGGACTGCTGTAAATGTGACACCAACCAGCCAGGCGTTGGTGGCACATGCCTTTAGTCCCAGCACTTGGGAGGCAGAGGCAGGCCGATCTCTGTGAGTTCGAGGCCAGCCTGGTCTCCAGAGCGAGTGCCAGGATAGGCTCCAAAGCTACACAGAGAAACCCTGTCTCGGGAAAAAAAAAAAAAGTGACACCAACCTAAGCTACGTAGTTCCAGTTCAGGTTGGCATACACAGAAAGACCCTGTCTCAACAAGATCTTAATTATACCTGACATGGTGCATGCTTGCAACCCTGAGCACTTGGGAAGTGAAGGCAGGAGAATCAGTTCAGGGCCAGCCTGAGCTATATAATGAAGGCAAGAGAATCAGGAGTTCAGGGCCAGCCTGAGTTAATTATTAGTTTGAGACCAACCTGGGCTGCTTGAAACCCTGTTCCAAAACAGTCTTTAATTGTACACTATTGGAAAGTGGTGTGCAGAGGGAGGAAACAGCGGGCAGAATCTGCACACGTCCTCTCCTGTACAGGCCTGGGGCAGTTCCAGCAAGAGTCAGAACGAAGGTACAGTCATGTGTGCTCTGTAACAGCAGTGGTCTAGGTGTATAAGAAATTTCTGCTGGGGCCTGGCAAGATGGTCTGGGAAGATTCAGCTCCTGAAGTGTCCACAATCCAGCTCTCCTTCTGGTGCCTCCCCTGCTGCATCAATGCCTACAACCCAGGAGCATTCCAGCCACCATCCTTTCCGCATGGTGGACTATGGGGCTGGTATCCCAAGGAGGTAGCAATGGAAATTCCAGCAGAAATCCCTCCCCATCCCCTACCCCCGAAGCTCCCACCAGTCAGCAAAGAGCCCACATCTGCCTGACAGTGCTGGTGCTTGAGGCTCTTGGGTGTCTGCAGCACACTAAGGGTGAGGGAGGGGAAGCATGACTTTTGTTTGTTTGCTTGCTTGTTTTTTCCAGACAGGGTTTCTCTGTGGCTTTGGAGGCTGTCCTAGAACTAGCTCTTGTAGACCAGGCTGGTCTCGAACTCACAGAGATCAGCCTGCCTCTGCCTCCCAAGTGCTGGGACTAAAGGCGTGCACCACCAACGCCCGGCTGAAGCATGACTTTTTAACATCACTGATTCTCAGTAACTCCCTCCACTCTCCTGTCTTCTCCCTTCACTTTATTGTTCCTACCTAAGGGATCCTGAGGAACTTTTCTGTCCCAAGGCCATCAGTGTCATAATCAGTTAGTCACAGTTTCTGCTTCAGAGAGTCCTAGGTACACCTGGCTGGATCAGCTAGCCTTCCAGAAGGCACAGGGACACCCTCCAAAGACACCCACACACCAGGCCCAGACAGCTGGACTTAGCCAGAGATTGGTCCTGTATGGGTAGCCATCGCTGAGGCAATGGCCCTGCATCCTGTTCTCTGTCTTCCACTCCTAATTCTTACCCCAGGGAGCAGAGCTCCGAAACAGGAAGGCTAAGCTTCCCTGAGAGCAGGTGTTAAGTGAGAGTTCACCTCGTTCAACATGTTCCCTCTGGGAGAGGAGTCTTCACCTGCAGCTTCCTCCCCTCTTAGCCCCTTATCCAGCCCCTAGCCCACTTGTGGGACATATCCATAGCCAGCTACCTTTATTTCCCTAGCCTGGCCTTTTGGGTCAGAGTGGAGGCTTCTAGCCTAGTGTGGAGGCAAACTCAAGAGGCTAGATCTAAAGTTCAACATAGAATCGGGCTACAAAGAATCTGGACTAGTGGACTAGGTTATATAGCGACAGTCTCAAAAAGAAGGGGAGGGGGCGGGGATGGAGGTTTGGTTCTAACTTACTCGTCACAACTGTCTGTAACTCCAGTCCCTGGGTCTGATGCCCTCCTTGGGAACCAGGCACACATAGTACACAATCACAACTCAGGCAGACACTTCTAAACATAAAAGTAAAATTCAAAATCTTTAAGAAGAGGAAAAAGGCATCTTACTCAGCCTCCCTTTTGAAGAACTTTGCACAGCTACTATGCTGTCACCCACCTGTGGCGTCTGCCATTCTTCCTCGACGTTCAATGAATCCTCTTGCTTTTCTTTGCTGCAACATCCTCTATATTCCTGAGGCCTTTATGTGAGCAGCTCTTTCCTCTTACCTAAATAATTCTTCCACTTCCGGCATCTGAGCTGCAGCCTCCCTCCCTTTCTCCCCCTTTTCCTCCCTCTCTTCCTCTTTATTCCCCCTCTCTTCCCTCCTCTGCTTCCCTCTCTCCTTTCCCACAAGAAAGTTCTGGTGGGGTCCTGTCGAGCAGGCCAAGGTGTAGTGAAAGTGGTTTAGTATTTGTCCAGCATGTTCAAGGCCCTGGGTTCCATCCGCAAAATGTAAAAAGTACTTTTAGGCCTAGGGGTGCCGGTGTGAAGGGATCAAATGAAGGCAACCTTTGCACACCTGCATGGCTAGAGCTCTCTCCCAGAGATGAGATGGGAGTTCTGTGTTGCCTGCCCTCCCCAGCCTTCCTACCCCACCCACCTGCTTCTGCCCCTTTACTCTCAGCTTCTGCTTCCCCTTCCTGGGTCTAAGGAACCCGTTCACACTATCTGTGGCTGACTCTGCCTGTACCACTGCCCTGCATATGTGCTCACAGCTGGGGTGAATCTCACAGTCTACAGGCACTTTGTTTACTTTTTTCTTTTTCTTTCTTTTTGGTTTGTTGGTTGGTTGGGACAGGGTTTCTCTGTGTAGCCCTGGCTGTCCTGGAACTCACTCTTTTAGACCAGGCTGGCCTTGACCTTCCAGAGATCCGCCTGCCTCTGCTTCCCAAGTGCTGGGATTAAAGGTGTGCACCACCACCTCCCGCCTTGTTTTCTTTACTGGTACTCTTTCATTTGCCCATGCCCAACTTTGGGATTCCAAATAATAATATTCCATCGTCCCTCATCAAGCTCTGTGAATATTCTTATACAAGTATTCTTTCTTTTGCAGCCTTCTTTGATACCCCTTCCCAGTCAGATATCCCAAATTTTCTTTGAGATTTCCTGGATCTAAATTGCCTTTTTAGTGATACTAGCCCCAACCTTGAGGGTCCATCCCCAAATAGGATTAAGTATTTGCTGTGTCTCATTAATTCCCAGAGTGGCCACCTCATCCTCACTTCTGGAAACAGGTTTTCTGGTGTTGGGGAGGGGGGCTAAAGATAAGGATAATATCCCCTAGGTCATGGCAGGAATATCTTGGGAAAGTGATAATTGTTGCAACCTGGGTGCCCTCTACATAGGCCTCCTGACCTTGGGTCCTGGGCTCTGAACACTAGCACACCTCTTCCCCAGCCTAGCAGCTCCTCCTTGAAAATGGGGTGGGGACAAGACAAGAGGCTAGAAAGCCTCAGGCCAACAAGGGGGTACCTGTATTCTTGTTCAGCCTTAGACTGAGCTGGTGGGGGTGGGTGAAAATATGGAGAGCACCACACCATGCCCCATGTGTCAGGCATCCATGCTTATCTGGTAACCACTATGTGTGTTTACTGTGTCCCTTCCTACCCTTCCTGTCCCTACCTTGCCCTACCCCCTGGCTGCTCCTCAGACTGTCTCTGGAGGTTATGACCATCCTGTGTCGCTGTGAGAATATTGAGACGTCGGAGGGGGTCCCGCTATTCGTAACAGGGGTTGCACAGGTAATAACCCACCTGCTTCCTCCTCTGTGTCTAACCTTCTCTTTCTGCTCTGAGGGGCCTGGCAGGCAGAAGCTGGATGGACTCTCCTCCCGAGAGTGTGCCTCCCTCCCCACTCTTCTCTGCTGCTCTAGGTACCAGGGTAGATTCAGGTAGATCCCCTGGTTCCTTTGCCCCTTAAGGCTTCAAGTATAGAACACTCAAGGGGTTCTGGAAGTTCTGCCTGGTCACCCAGTGAGTGTTATGCAGCCATAGCTGGTGAGTCTGTCCTTGGCTAGACTGCAGAGCAGCTCTGAGAGCTTTCCTCTAAGCTGCAGACTCCCATCTTCCTTCTTCATGTGTCAGCTCTCTGGTGTGCACTTTCTGAGTCTCAGGAACTGGGAATGAAACAGTGGACATCAGAAGCCCTTGCCAGCTGTCGCTAGTACCTCCCTGGGCTGGAGAGGTTTAAACCGTATCTTGCCCTTCCCTTTCCTCAACACTGAGTTTCCCTGCAACTTCTCAGACAAAAATCTGGCACCCCCACTTTGTTCCTTACTCACCCCTCCAGCTCTTGTGAGGAAGGACATCCTCATCTGTTATCTTTTGCACCCAAGAGAAAGGCAGGCTTCAGTACAGAGGCTCAAGAAGCAACTCAGAATAACTTGTGTGGCACAAGTAGTGTCCACAGGAACCATAATACCTTCTCTTCCTGTACTATACTTGAGACCTCTGACAATGCCCAGATACATTTAAGCTTAGGTAAATGAAAACATGAGGAGTCAGATGTTGAGGCACAGCAGCTCTTTCTAGGGTTAATATGCCAGTGTAACCCCGGCCTGCATTTTCCATGTGACCTCTGTGGTCCCATTACCAAAGGGTGTCCTTCAAGTCATCACCTGTGGCCAAGGAGAGGAACCAGAAATCTTCCTTGGCAAGAGGCAAGTGTAGGATTATATATTGGCCTAGCTGTGGGCATAACCTCAGCATGCCTGCCCAATAGGCAGAGCTTTCTAGATAAAGGCATACTGAGATACTGCATAGACCCATGGAGTAGGCAGGGACCCCGAGAAACATTCAGATGACACCCATGCACAGCCTTCATGAATGACAGCCTGGAGTCCCAGCACCTGCTTTCTGTCCTAGAACACCATATACTGCTATAGCCATTTCCTGTCCCCATCAGGCCCAGAGCACCACAGCTACTTCTTCCTTGCTTGATTTTCCTCACAATTCAAGCTAGGATGATGAGCATAAAGCATATGTACACATATGTCACCCACTTACTTACTTCCCAGAGCCACCTGCTCCTGCCCTGCCCTCCTCCCATGATCTTTGCATACACAGCCAGCTACATGCCTCTGAAGATTCCTCTTTACCAGGACCTTTGGTCTGTCCCAGCTGGAACAGTGATGTACTAGATTCTTACACACCCCAAGCCCTGGGCCCCCAGACCCATGCCCCTGTTTTGCATTTCTTGGCAGGATTTCCCTAGAGATTATGACGTTGCAGCCCCGCTGTGAGGACGTAGAGACGGCCGAGGGGGTAGCTTTAACTGTGACGGGTGTCGCACAGGTATAGTAACTCAGCAGCCCCACGCATGTCCATTGAGGTGCCTCGTCCCCATTCTGGGGTTGGGGGGGAAGAGGAGAGGACACCAACCAGGGGATGTCTCTCTCCAGAACTCCTGTCACCTCTACAACAGGATCCTCATCATTGGAATATGTCCACTTGGCTACCCAGCAACACTAACAGACACTTTCTCTCCTCAGTGGCCCTTTCAAGACAAAACCAGTGTTGAGGGCTCCTGTCTCACTAACCCACCCTCATTTTTTACAGGCATAGGATACAGCGGAGCCCAGGGTTCTGGCCTCCCTTGTTCCCTGGGTGGCCCAGAGGAAGAGATGCTGTGAGGCAGGGAAGTTCTTACCTTTAGGTTTTATAGGAACTGCTTATCTACCTCAGCTGTGGCCTGGGAGGGTGTCCCACCCTAACCACCCTCAACTTCACAGGGCAGTGAAGTTCTCTACCTGTTATTGTGTCTGATGAGGGAGTTGACAGAACACCTGGAGAGGCAAAGATACTGTCATTTACACCCTGAGGACCTGACTCCTGCTCTGTCTAGGCTCTTTCTGACTCCATTTGTCTGACTGTGTCCCTATTGCTCATTTTCCTTTTCATACTCGCTGCCCCTAAGCCTGAGGGGCTTTTATCCATAGGGAGGCTGCTGGGAAAGGGCTGGCTAGTGTGGGGCAGGGGGCTGGAGGGATGGGAAGATGAGCCCCAAAGGTGTGGGAGAGAGGCCAGATGAGGGCCTGGGACCACCACTGAGGACTGGGTCTCAATGTAAGAGGTCCTTGCATGGCAGCTCTCCCTCCAGGGGTGTCAGAAGCCCCCTTTGCAGCCCCAGGGCAAAGAAGTCTGATAGGAGGGGTGGAGCACAGCTGCCGGCCAGCCTCTGCATCTCAGGGCCTCCATCTACCTCCCAGCTGACTCAGGTGTCTGTGTCCTCGGCAGGTGAAGATCATGACAGAGAAGGAGCTCCTAGCCGTGGCCTGTGAACAGTTCCTGGGCAAGAATGTGCAGGACATCAAGAACGTTGTCCTACAGACCCTGGAGGGGCATCTACGCTCCATCCTTGGTGAGGCTCTGCCCAGCCTCTGAGCCAGGGCCAGGAACATGTGCATGGCTGGGCCGGGAGCCTGTCCCACTGAGGTTTGAGCTAAAACATTTTCTAAGTTTTTAATTTCAAAACTCAAGGTGGACTGAAGGTGTAGTTCAATGATAAAGCTGAGCATGCAAATGGCTTTGTGTTTGATCCCCAATGCTAGAAGGAAAAAAAAATAATAAAATAAAGCAGGTTTGGGGAAACAGTTCCATTGGTAAAGGGCTTATCTGCAAGCAAGAGGACCCAAGTTCAATCTTCAAAACCCAAGGTTTTTAAAAAGGTCACCACATGCTAGGAATGGTGGCACATGCTTTAATCACAGCACTTTAAAGGCAGAGGCAGGTGGATCTCTGCATTGGTGTTTTGCCTGTATTTATGTCCAGAGTGCAAGGCCAGCTAGGGACTCTGCAGAGAGACTGTCTCAAAAATATTAAAATAAAATTTAATAAGCCACCATTGCCAGTGGTGGTGGCATATACCTTTAATTTCAGCACTCAGGAGGCAGAGGCAGGCAGATCTCTGAGTTGGAGGTCAGCCTGATCTCCATAATGAGTTTGAGGGCAGCCAGTGCTACACAGAGAAACACTGTCTCAAAAAGAAAAAGAAAAAGAAAAGCCAGCCAGGCGTTGGTGTCACACACCTTTAATCCCAGCACTCGGAAGGCAGAGGCAGGCGGATCTCTGTGAGTTTGAGGCCAGCCTGGTCTCCAGAGCCAGTGCCAGGATAGGCTCCAAAGCTACACAGAGAAACCCTGTCTCGAAAAACCAAAACAAAAAAAAAGATTGACCTCTTGCCTTTTCAGGTACCCATACACATGCATGTGCACCTACACACATACAAGCACACATAAAATAATACTAATGAAAAGTTTAGGGCCTAGTGAGATGGCTCAGTGATTAAAAGTACTGGCTGCTCTTCCAGAGGACCTGGGTTCATTTCCCAGCACCCACATGGCCCCTCAAAACTATCTGTAACTCCAGTTCCAGGGGATCTGACACCCTCACATGGACATAAATGCAGGCAAAACACCAATGCACATAAAATAAAAATCATTTAAAATTTAAATTAAATGAACATAAAATTATTTTTTAAAGAATTTTTTTGGCCAGGCTGTTGTGATGCATGCCTTTAGTTCTACTACTCAGGAGGCAGAGGCAGGTGAATCTCTTAAGTTGAGGCCAGCCTGGTCTACATAGTGAGTTCCAGGACAGCCAGGGCTACACAGAGAAACCGTATCTTGAAGGGGAAGATAAATATATATATTTTTAGTGGGAACTCAAAAGAGGAGGGCATTGAAGTGGCAGGTGGCAGACCGCTGAGATATCTGGTACTGCTTAGGACACATTTGCTCATTCCGCCTGATCGCTACACGAGGAAGCTCAGTGTTAACCACTTGGAAAGGAACCCCAGGAAGATGTAGCTCACACTGCTTGATCTTTGCATGCACCCAGGCTTGCCCTCAAATGCTTCCTCCCTTTCTCAGCTGGCTAGCTCCTGGAGATTGGTTTATGCTCCTTCTGTCCTTCAGGGACTCTGACTGTGGAACAGATTTATCAGGACAGAGACCAGTTTGCCAAGCTGGTTCGGGAAGTGGCAGCCCCTGATGTTGGCCGTATGGGCATCGAAATCCTCAGCTTCACCATCAAGGTAAGGTGCAGTAGGAAAGCTGTACCCTGTGTCCATCTGGGAGACGGTTACCTGGTAGGAGGGACCCCTTTGTACTTAAGACTGCCCCCTGGGACACCGGTTCCTCCTTCCTTCCATAGGACGTTTATGACAAAGTAGACTATCTCAGCTCACTGGGAAAGACACAGACTGCTGTGGTCCAGAGAGATGCAGACATTGGTGTGGCAGAGGCAGAACGGGACGCAGGCATCCGGGTAAGCAGGGTTTCCCTTTCGTGCCCAGGACTGGGAGCTTAGGGTCGATGGCCTTGTGGTCCCTCAGCTAATCCTCACCACCACCTTTGCTACTCCCAGGAAGCTGAGTGCAAGAAGGAGATGCTAGATGTGAAGTTCATGGCAGACACCAAGATTGCTGACTCCAAGAGAGCCTTTGAGCTGCAAAAGTCAGCCTTCAGTGAAGAGGTCAATATCAAGGTGAGAAGCCTGAGGTCCCCGGGGATAGGGCTCAGGGCCCAGGGTATGCTGTCCTCCCTCTTATCTGCCAATCCTCCTGCTACAGACAGCTGAGGCCCAGTTGGCCTATGAGCTGCAAGGGGCCCGAGAGCAGCAGAAGATCCGGCAGGAAGAGATTGAGATTGAGGTAGTGCAGCGCAAGAAGCAGATCGCTGTGGAGACACAGGAGATTCTCCGGACCGACAAGGAGCTCATCGCCACAGTGCGCCGCCCTGCGGAGGCAGAGGCCCACCGCATTCAGCAGATCGCCGAGGGCGAAAAGTGAGAGCTTGGGCCCAGCAGGATGAGGCTGCCCTGCCATCAGTGCTCACCATGCTCGCAACCACTGTTTAGAAGCTACTCCCTTGCCCAAGTCTGCTCCTTTCTGTGAAGCAGATAAGCTCCCAGGCCTATTGTCTGGAAGACTCAGTATGCCAAGAGTCCAGGGTGCTTAGCACAGAGGGCCTCCTAGTCGGACCTTCCCGCTTGCAGCTGGGGGCTGGTTGCTTGTGTTCCACACGAGTTAGCAGGACAGAGCATCCCCTTCAAGTATCTCCCATCCCTAACAGCCACCACAGCAGAGAGCTAGAGGTTGTGCTGGGCCCCAGGTAAGGTTCAAGAGAGCCCGGCATCTCTTAACTAACTGATCGAGTGGCCTGGGCTCCCTTAGGGTGAAGCAAGTCCTGTTGGCACAAGCAGAAGCTGAAAAGATTCGCAAAATCGGAGAGGCAGAGGCAGCAGTCATTGAGGCAATGGGCAAAGCAGAGGCTGAGCGGATGAAGCTTAAGGCTGAGGCCTACCAGAAGTACGGGGATGCAGCCAAGATGGCCTTGGTGCTGGAGGCCCTGCCCCAGGTAAATTTTCCTCCCACCCAAGCTTGCACTCAAAGTTCTAGTCTCCTTGCTTGACCATTGGGCAAGTGCCAGGATTTCTCTGGGCTCAGCAGGCAGGCAGGAACCCTCCAGCAGGCCCAGGCTACCTGGCTCATGGACCTTCAGCCCATCCATTGCTGTTTCGGTTGCTTTGGGTATGGGTGGCATGGAGAAGAGGGTGAAGTGCTGGACAGGACAAGTAAACAAGAATCTCACTAAACTCTTCAAAAACCCCACCTCCTAGATTGCTGCCAAAATCTCTGCCCCCCTGACCAAAGTTGATGAGATTGTAGTTCTCAGTGGGGACAACAGCAAGGTGACGTCAGAAGTGAACCGGCTGCTAGCAGAACTGCCTGCTTCTGTGCACGCCCTCACCGGTGTGGACCTCTCAAAGGTGTGTACCTTTCTGTGGTGGGAATCCCTAGACGGCCCACTGGACTACGCAGGCCGAGGGTTTCAGGGCCACAGCCCTCACAGTGTCTTCCGTCCTTGCAGATACCCCTGATCAAGAATGCCACTGGTGCGCAGGTGTGAGCGAGGCTCCTGCAGACTCGAGCCCTTCAGCAGCTGCCTGCCCTTCCAGCACCTGTCTAACATCACAGGGACAAGAACGTCACCGACTCTGGTGCCTTATTTTGCAGGGACCAGAAGTGCTGCGTGTTGAGGCCCCCTCTGGCTGTCCTCCCTTCTCTCCTGTTAGCCTTCCTTCCTCTCTCTCCACACTCGCATCAACTGCCACCTTCATGTAGTCTGTTTCTCTTCTGCCATGTGTGCCTCTCCCTCTGGCTCTGTTTCTCTCCCCTTCTCTCCCCACCTCCACACACATCATATAGTTTAAGCTGAAGTTGTTTATTATAATCACTGTCCATCTGTGAGGAGTGGCCCCACTGCTCCTCAGAATCCTGGTGCCTTCAAGTTCTATATGTATCTGTCTGTCTTCCTTAGTTCTGGCAGAGCCCAGCATGGGTAAAAGGGTTCTGGGTAGGACACCCACTCTCTTCTCTCCCCATCTGAACTTCCTAGCCCTAAACTCTGTTCCAGGAAGCCCACAACCCACACATTCTTGCCCTTTGAGGCCTGAGTGGCTATGGCCTATTGGGCCTGGAGTAATGCCCGTCACTCACACACACACCCAGGCCCCAGGCCTGCTGTTAAACCTGCCCCTCTGCCCTGCACCCCAGAGGCACAAAGGCAAGGCCTCTTGTCTATAGCAGCTTCCTCAGTTTACTACTGCCTTAGGAGGCCCTGCTCGTGCTCAGGGACATCCCCATCATTGGCTTGTCCTTGATTGGGGGGTGGGGGATCTTAGTCCAGTTCTGTCTTTCTGGGGTCAATGTTTATCTCTGATGGGGACAGGAAGTTTATAGATCTTCCTGCTAGTGCTGTGACGGCCTGGACATGGGGCTCGCCCATGGGGCAAGGCTGTACCAACCCTAAGAGAATCAAGTGCTGTAGACTGGCCAAACCTCATTCTATACCATTTTCTTCTCTGCCAGCATGATGGGGTTCTAGCCATGGGAAGCAGCTAAATCTTCTGTGTCTTTGCACCATTGGTGGCAGAAGAGCCCAATGCCCAAGTATCCTAGAGGAGGTGCAAGGGTGTCCCATGGCCCCAGTCCCCACCCGGCCTGCCCAGCCTGTGGAGCTGCTGTGCATGTGAATGCTGCATGTCTGGCCTGGGGCTTACATGTTGCACTGCCCCACTACCTATTCCCCTCCGGTAAAAATAAAGATAGATCTCTTACGCCCACACCTTTCGTTGTGTACTCTATAAAGAGAGAGAGAGTAGGAACCAAGAAGCAACTGGGTTCCCCATAACCACATCAGCATCAGGGTTGCTCTGTCCTACCCTAGCCACTGGGAGGCATCAGTACACTAGCCTTGCCTCACTAGAGACTGGCCTTGGCACTGAGGCAAGAGCTGGGTAACAGGCCCTCTGCCAGACCTAGTCACTCTCAGCAATGGAGCCCAAGTCTCAGGCTTAAGAGCATGAACTTAGTGCTGGAGAAATGGTTCAGAGGTTAAGAGCCCTGGATGTTGTTGCACAGGTCCTGAGTTCAATTCCCAGCAACCACATCACATGGTGGCTCACAACCATCTGTGGTGGGATCTGATACCCTCTTCTGGTTTAAAGATGTGCATTCAGATAGAGCACTTGTATACATAAGATCAACAAATAAATCTTTAAAGGAAAGTATGAATCCTGCTGATAGGACTGCTTGTATTTTTTTTAAGATTTCATTTATTATGTATCCAACATTCTGCTTCCGTGTATATCTGCACACTAGAAGACGGCACCAGATCTCATAACAGGTGGTTGTGAGCCACCATGTGGTTACTGGGAATTGACCTCAGGACCTCTGGAAGAACAGTCAGTGCTCTTAACCTCTGAGCCATCTCTCCAGCCCCGGACTGCTGGTATTTTAACTTTAATTTCAGTTTTAGTTCTGTTGTTGGTAAATAACTTAGTCTTTCCAGTCCTTGTTATTATTTTTTTGATATGTGTGGGGGGGTTGTTGTTGTTTGTTTTGCTTTTGCTGGGAGACATGTAACCCAGGCTGGTCTAAAAAAATCTATGAAATCAAATCTGGCCTTGAGCTCCAGTTCCTTCTGCCTTCACCTTCCCATTATATAAACATGCCACCACATCCAGCAAGATTTCTTTTTTTTTTTATTTTGGTCTTTCAAGACAGCATTTCTCTGTGAAACAGTCCTGGCTGTCCTGGAACTCCCTCTGGAGACCAGGCTGGCCACGAACTCACAGAGATCCGCCTGCCTCTGCCTCCCGAGTGCTGGGATTAAAGGTGTGAGCCACCATCGCCCAGCCCAGTAAGATTTCTTAATGTAAAAACAAGAGTGGGACTGGGGAGATGATTCAGTGGGTAAGAACCCTTACTGTGCAAGCATGGGGACCTGAGTTCAGATCCCCAGCACTCACATAAAAAATAGTGTAGCTGTACACACCTGTAACTCCAGTGCTGGGGTGGGGTAGGGATAGGATTGCTGACTATCAGCCTAGCCAAAAAAGGTAAGTTCCAGCTTCAGTGAGAACTCTGAAAGGAACAAGGCATGGCAATAAAGACTGCATGCACCTACAACACCTACATACCCCCCCACACACACACACCATACACAGCACATACAGCATACACACACACAGCACATACACACATATAGCACACATACAGACACACACAGCACACACAGGGCTGGTGAGATGGCTCACTAGGTAACAGTACTTTCATACAAACATGGTTACCAAAGTTGCTCAGGAACCTGCTTAAAGGTGAGAGGAGAGAACTGACTCCACAAAGTTGTCCTCTACTTCTCCACAGATGTTTCTGCATAAGTGCACCTCCCTACACACACACACACACACACACACACACACACACACACACTACTAATGAATAAAATGTTCAGAAAATTCTAAGCATGCCATGTGTGCTGGCACAGCCCTTTAATCCCAACACTCTGAGAGCAGGCAGGTGGATCTCTGAGTTCAACTCTAGCCTGGTCTACCTAGCAAATTCAGGCCAGCCAGGGCCACATGATCAGATCCTGCCTAAAAAAACACTAAACCAGCCGGCCATTGGTGACACCCGCCTTTAATGCCAGAGACAGGAGGCTCTCTGTGAGTTTGAGGCCAGCCTGGTCTACTGAGCGAGTTCCAGGACAGGCTCCAAAACAATACAGAGAAATCCTGTCTAGAAAAACAAAAACAAACAAACAAAACCCCACTAAACCAGGCTTGACGACACAGATCTATAATCGTATCATTCAAGAAGTAAAGGCAGGGGGGCTGGAGAGATGGCTTAGCGGTTAAGAGCACTGACTGTTCTCCAGAGGTCCTGAGTTCAATTCCCAGTGACCACATGGTAGCTCACAACCACCTTGAATGAGATCTGGTGCCCGCTGCTGGCATGAAGGCAGAAGACTGTATATATAATAAATCTTAAAAAAAAAAAAAAAAAGACGTAAAGGCAGAGGGCTTAGGAGTTCAAGGTCATAACAGCTATATAGCCAGCCTGGGCTACATGAAATCCAGTCTAAAAAGAAAAGTTGAACCAAGTGGCACATGCCTTTTATCCTAGCAGTCAGGAGATAGAGGCAGGTGTATATGTGTAAGTTCAAGGTAAGGCCAGCCTGGTCTACAGAGTGAATTCCAAGATAGTCTCAAAAAAAAAAAAAAAAATGAGCCTATAACCTCAGTACTCATGAGACACAGCCCAGAGGATTTCCACAAGTTCAAAGCCAGGTTCAACTAGAGCCACATGGTGGTTCACAACCATCCGTAATGAGATCTGGTGCCCTCTTCTGGCCTGCAGGGACACATGCACACAGAACACTGTACATAATAAATAAATAAATCTTTAAAAAAATTAAAAATTAGAAAAATGAGGCAAGCATGCCCCCAAATTATTACTATACCTATATCTAGCAAAGAATCTAAATTCCCATCTACACTAGTGCAGTGGGACAAACCTGAAATCATAAGCCTGAGAAGACACAAGTAATAGGGTCAAGGCAAGTCCAAGGCCAGCCTGGGCTACAGAATGGTACCTTGTCTCAGAAAAAGAGAGCTGGGATGTAGCTCAGTTAGTAGGGGGCTTGCTTAGCATGCACAGGGCTTGAGCTTGAGCTTCAGCCCCACTAAAACCTTTAGGAATGGTGCAAGCCTGTAATCCCAGCACTGGGGACATGGAGAAGTAGTTCTGGGTCATTCTCAGCTACATAGTAAGCTGAGGCCAACCTGGCATAAATGAGTCCCTGCCTCAAAATGAAAGAGAGGAAGGGAGGAAGGGAAAAGGAAGGGATAAAGTTCAGTGGTGGAGTAATTGCCTAGCACGTCATAGCACTAGATTAAATTCCCAACCATTCTTGCCCAGAAAAAAAAAAAGTCCTGGCAGTTGTGATGCCAGCACTCCAGAGGCAGAGACAGGCAGATTCTGTGAGTTCAAGGCCAGGCTTGTCTACAAAGCAAGTTCCAGAACAGACAAGGCTACACAGAAACACCCAGTCTCTAAAACAAAACAACAACAAAACAAAACAAAAATCCCAAATCAGTAATAACCTAATAGTATAATTTTTGGGTCTTTTTAAAAAGGATTTCATGTGCCAGCCAGTGGTGGCACACGTCTTTAATCCCAATACTTGGGAGGCAGAGGCAGGTGAATATCTGTGAGTTTGAGGCCAGCCTGGTCTAC